TCTTACTACAATTATTACATTTCTTGACGGAGTCCCATATATCTAGTTGTTTTTTGAAATAATGACAATATGATTGAATAGAAATAGTGGACAAAAATGTATACGAAGTGTGACTTAGGTACTACCATAGCAATTTTAGTGACCGCGGTTCTCTTCATTAGTTATATTCCGATAATATTTATGAAAAATACTCTAATTTTTGTCCGGATAGCAGGGGCACAATTTTTATCTTAAGTACTAATACTAAACTTCATGGTAGGAAGCGGGGGCACTTGCCTCCCCTAGGCCCCTCCCTAGGTCCTCCACTGCATTCATGAGACGTGACATGTAATTAATTTATTTTCACAAGTTGCTTTAAAGTTGCCCCCCCAACACGGACACGACAGTACGTTGGGAGGATGTAATTGGACTATAATCACAATCTGACAGATAGAGAGTGAGGCTCTGTCTCCGGTACTTGCAGAGGACCTATGCATTTTTAGCATAGTAACATCTTATCGCAGTTGCCGGGATTTGAACCCGGGACCTAACTCTTGTGGCACTCCCTCGCTACCAGTTGAGCTTCGCCCACCGGCAGGGGCGGATACATATGTTGTTTAATGGGGGCACATGCCCGCAATAAATGCCGGGGGACACTTACCAGTTTTTATTAATAATATTAAAAGTACAAATTGGGGGGCTAGGCCTGACCCAAAAGAACATCAATAAAAATAGAGCAGTAAAACCAAATGAAATGAAAACAAAGCTAAGTTCTGAGATAAGGAAGGCCAAATTTATCTGAATAATAGACTCTCTTCACCGGGCCCGGAAGTTCAGAAACCTGATAAAAAAGAAGGGAATTTTTCACAAATAGACCAAAATGGAAAAATTATATCACTTTTCTCGCTTCCCATTTTTTCTTTCAAAAGCAGACTACGAAAAAAATTCCTTTCAAATATAGACCTTGACTCCTAAGCCGCCTAAACCTACGTGTTTAGTTACGAAATGAATAGAGTCAATAGAGACGTTATCAACTACTCAACTTTATGCTCCGTAATTCCGTATTCTATAATAATTACACTTTTTCTGTATTCTATAATTACACTTGCGAATTTCAAAAACTTAAAAAATAAACAAGAGAACAAAAATGAAAACTTAAAAGGTAAAAAAGTTAATAAAATACAGTAAATGTGTACAAAAACTATAAAAGTGTACAAGAATAAATAATTATTCAATTTTAAAATATGAAAACTAATAGGAAAAATAAAAAAGTACAAATAGGTTAAATTTTATAAATTGAAAAAAAAAACTAACATATAAAAACGGAATTGTAAAATAAAATAAAAATGTTGTGAAACTACTTAAAAATATGAAAAGTAATTATAAATCTTTACAAAAGACCAATTTTTTTTTAAAAATCAGTATACATACAAGTAAAATCATCCAAAAATCAAATAAATATAAAAATTTGAAAACATTGAACAATTAAATAAATTTATATACAATTTGAAAACATTAAAACAATTCAAATAAATATAGAAAATTGAAAACATTCAGAAAATGAAATCAAAGTTTGTATAAGTACAAGAAAATTTGAAACTAAGGATATTAAAATTTATATTTAAAAGTGGAGCTTAAAATTTATAAAAATAAAAAAGTTCAAATAAACTTAAAAGCGAGTAAAGAAAAAAGATAATAAAAAGGTTAAAAGGGAAAATATAAAACATAAGTATTCAAAAAAATGTGAAAAAATTAAAATAAGTATAACATAGAAAATTTGTAAAAATGAAGGAATTTTTAAACAAATAAATAATACTACATATGAATTTTGCAATTTGTTATTATTTTAGTTACAAAAATTAATTGTTATTTATAAGTTACAAAAAATCACAAGAGCGGATTGTTGCTATTTTTTGTTGCTTGTTATCTCATTGTGTTTCTTTTTGTTTGTTGATAAATTTGCAAATTTTGTTTTTAATTGTTTAATTATGTTTCTTGTTATTGATTTCTTTTTTTTCATAAATTTAAGTCTATCATTTTGGTTTGTGTGTTTGTACACACAGGCATACACGCATGCACATATGTTTTGCATTTTTCAATAAAAATAAAGATTACACAATAAAAATAAAAACAAGAAATGAAAATGATCAACAATTAGAAACAACATGCAACAAAAAGCAACATCACACAACAAAAAGAAACAAAACGAAACAAAAATATGAAACATAAAAGAAACAATAAGAAACAAAAACATTGAGTACTAATATGCCAAAACAGGATGAAATTAGAAACACAAACAAATCCTACTTATACAAATAACCCGTGCATCATAGGTTTCAAAGATCCATCTACTATGGTCTAAAATTAACAGAAACAACACCCCTCTACTTGCAATATTCTCTGATATATGCAAACTTGTCAAAACAGGGAGAACCGTCCAAACATAGTACTACTTTGAGTATTAGCAACCTATTGATTAACAATTTCTTAAAGCCTTCAAACTAATCATCAAAGCCCTCTGGTGGCCACCACCTAGGCTTAGGGAAATTCCAACCTCAACTGATGGCAGTCTCCAATAAACCGACACTATTACCCCCTCTACTCTCACTGTCTACCTTCTCTATAGCATCTCTAAAACCTCCATAACTACGTTGACGAGGTGTCTCTTGTAGATAATGCCACAACCGGAGCTGCAATCGTCCTCCAACACGTCGGATGGGCCTTTGCTGAGGGCCGCTTCCATAAGGGAGACGCCGTTGTGATGCTTTACTGTGCGTTTCAAGCCGTTAAGAAATCAATTGAGGCATATGTGACTCGTGCCGGAGGTTCTGTTATAGTAGTTCATCTTCCGTTTCCGGCCTGTTAGTTCCAATGAAGAAATAATTGCTAAGTTTTGTGATGCCTTGGCTAAGGGCAAAGTCAATGGTAGGAAAATCAGGTTGGCTATAATTGATCACATTACTTCAATGCCAGCTGTCATCATTCCAGTAAACAGCCTAGTTAGAATCTGCAGAGAAGGCGTGGAACAGGTATTTGTTGATGCTGCTCATGCATTAGGCAGAGTTGATGTGATTCCATAAGGTCTTTGGGTGACCATGACGGTTCATTCATCAACTTTCCTCCAACTGTTTCCCCTCCCACTCTTACAATCTTTTCTCTACCCTTTACTGAAAATGGAAGTTTACACCCTCCCTCTATGCTGCACTTCACTTTTCCCTTTTCAACGTTATCATGCGTGTCATTATCTCTATTTATCAAATTTCCTCTAATTGTTTCCTCTCCCAATCTTGCAAGCTTTTCTTCACCATTTACTGAAGTGTAATATACTCATCTTTTCCTGAAGCACTTTTAATAATCTCATTTAAGAGTATATTATAGATCTTCTATGTCATCCCCAATAGACTGCACACAAACAGGAAAAGGATTGTATTACAATAGTAAGTCACACTCATATGAATACTACATGTTTGTTCATGTGTATATATAATAAAGTATAACACATTGAGATTCAAACACAACATCAAAGTCAATTATGTTTCATGCTAGGGGTTTCCTCCCCACAGAGAGAGTACACAATGAATACATATACAAATAAAACCTCCATAAAAAAAAATTATGATTACATATTTAAACAATAGAATGCAGCTAAACAAACTATGCTTGCAAAAGTTCCTTAAGAAAGGAGTTTCAATTGTTTATTCATGGTTCCAACAAAAACAATTAGCTAGTATTCACCTGTGAAGTTAGCATTCACTCACTTACAGATTGTACTAAGGGCAATATTTCCTTAAGAAAGGAGTTTCAATTGTCTATTCATAGTTCCAACAAAAACAATTAGTGGTCAACTGAATTGACTAGTCTGCCCTTAACAACATACATTTCCAATAGCAAAGAGGGATAAATAATCAAATCATTTATCTTTTCATTCCTGGACGAGATTAGTTGAACCGGTGACATAGATCACATTCCTTGACTAGAAAAGTCTCTTTTATCATTTCAAAAATAATAAAAATTGGCTGCAATGTTATTGAGTGATTGAAAAAGGATAGAATAATAGCATCTCAAGTATGAATTGACATACCTCTGAGGTTCATCAAAATGAAATAGGATGCCACCGTCACAACAGCTTCTCGATCCTCTTGAATGCAGAGTTTCTTCAATAACTAACTCTGGCACCTTTCCACCACGTTGCTGACTAGGAGATGTCAATTGAACCAAGGCATAACTTCAACAATTGAAACTTATGAAGCTGGATCGGTGCAGCTGTTCTCAGAGAGGATAAATTTGGAGTATGTGGTTCAACTTAAGCATGACTAAGAGGATCCGATTGAGCTGGGAATAACCTTGAAGAGTTGTATTTGTCAAGTCTGTGAAATTTCTGCAGATTGAACCAGTAGGGCTGATTCGGAATTGATTTTGCCGCTAGTTGAGATCAATTGAAGTAATGGCGTAGTCTCAACAACTTGAGCTACTGGATCAGTCACATCTGTTGTAGTAAAAGACAGAATCAGAGGATCTGCTTTGATAAAAAACCTGACTGGGAGGCTTCGATTGAGCCGGAGAAGATTACCGACATACCAACTTCTGCGAATTGAATCGAAAAGGCTGATTGGGGAGCCAAATCAGAACACGAATCCTTAATTGTCGGGGCTGATTTACGTCTGCGATTATCCATAGATGAAGAACAACGAGATGCAAGGAAGGTGTGCCGGAGAAGAATCGAAGAGAGGGGAGAGCAGATGCGAAGCTCGTAGATTACAGAGATGAGCGCATGATAAAATTTGAGTCGAGGCTACTTTTGAAATTGTAAAAATAAAATTGAAAAGTTAAAAGTTTAGATATGAAAAATATTTTTAGGGTAGACATAAAAGAAAGGTCGGATAGAAAAGTGGTTCAATCCGGAAATTTCCACAAAAAAGAATCAAATGCTGTGAATGGAGATGGGCCAAACTGTCCGCAGCCCAATTTGCATCACGTAAAGTGTGTCTGATGGGACCTCTTTCCTATTTGTGCGTAGTAGCATTTCCTGAATGTCAACCAGCCATCTTCCAAACTGATTAAGAAGAACATAGTTCACAGCCACTTGGGAATCAACTTCGACCTGAAAATCACTGAAGCCTGCATCCAAGGACCAGTTTGTGGCAAAAAGCAGAGCTTTGATTTCCGCATCTAGGGCGGAAGTAGCTTGCAGCGGGAAGGACATAGCAAACACCATAGCTCCATCTTGATTTCTCATAATCGCTCCTCCATAAGATCCCTGAGGTATAAACGATGCATCAATGTTTAATTTCAGTTTTTGAGGCTTAATCCATCTGATAATTTGCATACTTGAGCTCGTAATTCTGAAATTGCTAGGAATTAGGTTTTCTTCAAAAAGGATAGGGAATTTTCCCAAAATGGGACTATTTATCTTTACGAATTCCAAAATAGGAGCAGCCTGAAAGTCAATTTCGCATAGGACCAAATGATGACTGAAATGCCTATTATACCCTCAAGTAATAACCGTTGTATCACCGTTTCCAATAACAAAAAAAACGCGCCTCTATCATCGTGCTCTCGAGGCTCTCCAACTCTCGAAGAAACCATCATTCAACTTCCTCTTAGCAACTTCTGCAGAGCAAACCGTACTCGAAGGAGAAAACGACTGGCGCTGAGAACACAGAAGTGAGAAGCGACGAAGAAAGCACCATTGTTGTCGTCGACAATGGCCGATTTGAACTCCACAAACACGGAGCGGAGAAACGACATGAAGCTGGTATGTCTTCCTATGTTTATGATTTACATTTGCGAAAACTAGGTTAAAATGTGTGATAAGAAGTCTAATAATGTAAGTTTCAACCTAATTTCTACTTGCATGTGTATCATTCTGAACAGAATAAGTGCGATAGATTTTTTTACTTCGATGTTTAATATGGTGTATTGTTTACCTAGAAAACAGATGCAAACATGAATTACTTCCTTTATAGTATGTACAAGTCAAGAGAATTCATATATTTCTAGATTTATTGAGTTGTTCAATCATGGTCTGTTTTTGAAATATTGATGAGTAATTAGTGTTGTTTAGGAATTAAACCAGCTACTAAACGGTCTTGACATTTTAGATTACATATACTGTCATTTTACTTACTTGCAATGATGAATGTAAACACAATATTGATATTTAGTGTTCATAGGCAATAAGAAGGTCATGTGACAAGGACATCTTGTCAAAAATGAACAAACTAAGAGTAAACTGCTATTGCAATGTGCTGGAAGTGGTTAAGGCCATTAAGATGTACTTGAATGAAGAATAACAGGCTGAATTTAGAAGAACTGTGGGCAGTTGTTATTGGGGCTGATTGGGAATCATGTTGAAGAGGTGAATCACAGGGTAGAAACTGAGAAGATCACTTTCAACCTTAGAAACAGTTTGGTGTCATTTACAAAAGAAGACTTCGCTCTGGTGACATCTTTTAGGATGGATGGAGTTAAGAAAAAATACAGAAAGATGTGCAGGGGGATATCCGGAAGAGATACTTCAATGGGAAGACATATGTGTCCCGACAAAACGTCACCGATGCTTTGATTGCATACAACCGTGATGATGAGGGAACTGTTGAAGGTGATGGTGTCAAATTAGCTTTGTTGTATCTGCTAGGGAATGCATTATTTGGAAACCAAAATAAAGTAGCACTGCCTTCGTACTATGTGAATCTGTTGGATGATATGGAAGCTTTCAATAGCTATCCATGGGGAAGAGACATATGGGATGATTTGGTCAACAATGCAGGAAAAAGTGTTGAGTTACTGACTACAAGTTCTTCAGACCGTGTCACATTTCCTGGGTTTATGTTTGCTGTACAAGTATGGGCCTTTGAAACTCTTACAGGACTGAACAAAGCTGGTGTTTGCGTCTTCAAAGAAAATCAAGAGAATGCTATTCCTCGCACTCTGAAATGGAGTTTTACCAAAAAGCAAAGTCTGCAACTTCTGTGCAAGTTGATATTCCATAACAATGAGGTATCAATTGAAATATTTTCAATGTACACAATTGATTTTAATATAAATATATTGATGAAATGTTTTTCTTTTATGCAGTTTGAATATAAACCAATGGAACCAACAGCTCAAGAGATGGAAATACCAGAGTTGGCATTACTGTTCCAAAACTTCGAAAGAGAACATTGGCAGTTTGATGGTGGAATAGACTGTAGTGAAGAGATACAAACTGAAGGTAATGACAAAGGTGCAGATTGCAATGAGAAAGAAGTTGAAAATGGGAGTGGAAAGGTGGAGAAAAAGAAGAAGTCAAGGTCCAGAAAGGGCGCTGCTCTTCAAAGAAAGTGCACTAGGGAAAGCAATGATGATGAAGAAGATGACTCATTACTGCAAAAACTTGTTAAGAAGACTGACATGATGATGGAAGAAATGGCAAGGATTAAGAATATCCAGAGAACACATGGGTCTTTATTGAGAAAGATACTGACAAGGTTGGAAGGTAGACAGGTATTGACAGATGAAGCTAAGGAGGTCAGCCAAGGGGAAAAGCAATGCATCTTTGAAAAAGATGATGTGGTGCTTCATGACAAAACAACTGAAAGAGAGATATGTGATAAAGCTTGGAACATTGAAATTGATGAAAATGGCACTGAGAAGGATGAAATTGGAGAGATGGATGTAGATAAAGGGGATCATATACAGACAGTGCCAGAGGAGGTTGATGATGCTGAAGAGTTGTTGAAGAATGATGAAAATAAAAGTTCTAATGAAAAGGAAGCAATGGCAGAGGAAGATGGCACCGCTATTGAAAAGGAGAATGTTGAAGTGTCTGAGAATGAGATAGATTCTCAAAGACCATCGTTCAATATATTTGGTTTTTCTTCACAGGAAGAAGGCCTTGTGAAAAAAACTGATGAGGAAATATTAGGAGACTTGAACAATGCACGTGAGCCAGTTGTTGATGGCACTGAGAAGATGGATGTTGGCAATGATACTGGAAAAGAGGACTGGAGAAAATTGAATGATGATGACACAGATTATGATGAGGATGAGCTGCTCAAAGTGGATGAGCTGGTTAACAAAACCATAGAAAAGAGAAAAGAGAAGTCAACCGAAACAAACATTGAGGAATCCACAAAGGTATAAAGTTCAAAAGTTGTTCAATACATATTAGAATAATATATTTATTAATAATAATAATTAATATCTCAATATATTGCAGGAAATGGAAGTGGTAGAAGGGAAACTGGAAAGTAAGTCAAAGAAAGAAGATGTCAGTGCTATAAATCAGGTATAGTTCTGTTAGCACATAATTCTGACAGTACTATGATGTACTTTTTAGTATTGCCAAATGTCTAATATAGTTACTGACAAACAAGACAGTATTGAACATGGGTATGTGTCAACGTTGGCAGTAACACATGACAGAACTTGCCAATAACTGAACTAGGATGACAATGATGTCCAACATGCATATGCATCCTATATTGCCAGTAATAATGCGTAGTTAATATTTAATGGCAAATTTAGTGACATGACAGAACTTGCCAGTAACTAATGAGAACATTTATGAACTGTTGGCAGTAATGGTATATAAAGTATAAAGCGTACTGACACTAGATCATACAGTGCAAAATTATACAGGTTTACCAAGAACCAGAACCTCTAGTTGTGATTTATGGAGTTGCATATGTAAAAAAGTCCAAAAGGAAACCTAAATCTCCGGAGCGCTACACGCCATCAGAGAGAACTGTGGAGAAAAAGAGAACTTTTGGTGGAATTGAGAATGGAAATACATATTGGAGGAATTATTTCGAGACCCTAAATCATTTTGGATATATGGGAGGATTAAATATTTTTGGGGCATTAAATCTTTTTATTACCATTGAGACTATTGTGGAGAATTTTTCCTTATAAATATTTATAAGGGTTGTTAAGGAAATCTTACTATTTGGAGAATGATACTTACCTCCAAATATTACAAACACTGTGGATATGGATTTTTGAAAGATTTTTGTAAAGCTAGAATCGGATTTATTTACGAATATGAGATGTGTGATGGAAGTTCAAAAGTTATTTTGGAGATTAAGTATTTTGGGAAGTAATATCTTACTCCTACTATATATGAACTATTCAATGTTTATAAACATTATTTTAAGCTACGAATGCTATTGGGAAATTATTTAGTTTGTTGGAAAGTATATAGATTTGAGAAAGTGTTTTGAGGACTGTGAGATATTAAGATATTATTTTACTTGCAAATGTGTGATATGCTATGAGATGAAATAATTTTTACAAACCTCAGTTTAGTGTGTGTATTTAATTATTTATTTATGAGATCAAATATTTTACTTGCATTTGAGGAATTGTAGAGTATTTTGAGAAGGCTTCGACATGCCAAAAAAGGGGGGGTTGACATGTATTTTGACAAAATTATATATGTATCAAACATGATTATTTTACGGGGTTGAGTAGGCCCTTACTTAGCATTTTAAGCTAATTTTTTTTCTTTGTGTTTTCTTTCTGTACTTTATTTGTGCAGGAATAGAGGATCATATTGAAGTTGCTTTCGAGAGCTTCCGCTAGAACACATAGACTAAAGTTGACTGAGTAATTTATTTTAGTCTAAATTTTAAGGAATTGTAGTTGAATAATTAATTATGGAAAATTTTAATTGTTGGTGGTGGATAGCCTGTGCACTCGGTTATGTGAGAACCGAGTGTGGCGGTAACGCCTCTTATTTCCATTTAAATTTCCGCTGCACAATTCTGATGTTTTCAAATAAAGTTTAAATTCCTTTGAATAAATCATTATTTAAAGCTAAGGTATTTTTTGGTGGAAAAAATAGGGGTGTTACAGTAATACTGTGGGATAATTGACTTAGTAATCACAATATGGCCGTTTGAAATGCTTTTTTTAATGTTTAGCACACATGACAATGGGGTACTTTTGTATTTTGCTTAAATTGTATTTAGCTAATATCTTGACATTGCTACTTATATTTGGAATGTATTTACGATGCTGATGCACTTTTGTTGACATATTGGGACATATTTAATGCTATTCGTTTAAAATTACATATGTGTCCTAAATAGGATTACTACCGCCATTGATGAATGTGAAGTAATGGCTAAAGTTGAAAGTAAATACTGTCATCCTACTTACATTTAAAATACGTAGTATTGCAATTATTTGGAAGTAATAACTAAAATATAGAGTAATACTATCATCGTACTGCCATCGTGAATACGTAGTACTGCAATCACTTTGAAGTCATGAATTAAGGTGACAGTTAATACTATCATCATATTGCTATATGATGGCAGTATCTACTCACAGAGAGAATACTGTCATTAAATATATTATATACTCCACCATAAAGGCAGTATTAAGGAAGTATTTATTAAAGAAAATATTATATACTGACATTATGAATAATAAAGTAATAAGTTTATAGAGAAATAATGCCACATATTGCATTTGATGCCAATACTTGTTGGCAGTATTTAAATAATTCATACTGGCAATATTTAGGCAGTAATATTTTACACAGGTGTATGAAATGACAGTACCTTTAAGAATGCTGTCACAGTAAACAAAATACCATATATTCAATGTTCAATATTCAATATAATGAAATATAAGAACCATAGCAGAGTGTGATAAATGTATCTCAATCTTCACATAGGAATGAAAATGTAACCAAAACTAACATTAGAATTAAAAGCAAATACAGTACGAAACAGCTTCTTAAGAATGAATTGTAAGTGCATTCTTGCAGCTTTTTTTTGTTATGACCAGCAGAATGGCACCGAGAACACTTTTGCCGTTTGGTTGCACGAAATTCACCAACTGATGGTATCCTTTTTGTTTTTGGTCGACCAGCTTGTCTTTTAGAACATGAAGGTGGCTTGCAAACAATACTTTGAACATGAGGTGGAACTATCCAAGAAGATACATCACCAATTGGATGCTGCACACCACTATAGGTATTCAACACAGACTGTCTCGTATAATAATACAATATATAATCATAGCAGGAAACACCAGTGCGTGTGCCTATGGCAGGTACAGCATGTACACAAACAAAATCCTCTAATTGAAACATACGGCACGTGCATGTTCGGTCATTGAAATTGACAATAAAAGATCTACGAAGTCTATCAACAACTTCAAACTCATAACGGCATGACGGTTTAACCTGAAAAATTAAGGTTAATGAAAGATGTGAATTACAGATAGAACAATACAGTCAATACAACACAAGGATAAACCAGAACATGGCAGTACAATAGAAATGTGAATGAAACACTGTCACGTTCATGTAATAAACGTGACAGTATACACGTGCCAGTAACTAAATAAAAAAGTGAAAACAGAGAAAATGAGATTGTTACCCTCATCCTTGAAGCATCCCTCTGCAATGAAACTAAATGTTTCTCAAACTTTAGAGTCAAATGAGTAGTTGATGAAGTTGCTTCTTCCAGCCGCTCTGCAAACCATGTTTGCATTCTTTCACGGATAAAATCCAAAAGCTTAGCCACAGGGTACTCTCTTGCATTAGCATCCATGTTGTTCATGGCCACTGCACAGTTAGAGGTCATAACACCCCATCGACTCTTAACTGCCATGCTTCGAGCCCATTTTTCCTTTCCAATCTTCTCTAGCCACGGACGAATCCTAGCATCTTCCTCATCCAACATGGACAAATATTGATAGCATTCACTCACAGTTGCAACCTCCCATGCAGATTTAAATTTCCAACCATGGTTGGACGACTTACATCGAAATTTGGATCTCATATTACGCCGCAGATGTTCACAACAATATCCATGGGCAGCGTGTGGAAAGATGGCCTTTGCAGCTTTGATAATACCTTTATGTCTATCTGACACAATGTACATGTCATCATGATGTTTAAGGCACTCTTTGAGCCTTGTAAAGAACCACTTCCAAGACACAGTGCTCTCAGAATCACATACAGCAAATGCTAAAGGCACAATCTGTTTGTTTGCATCTTGGCTGCAGGCGGTAAGCAACGTCCTTTGTAGTACGCTTTCATAAAAGAACCATCGATAATAAGAACAGGAATGCAATGCTCCCATGCTCTCTTCCATGGTGCAAGTGACATGAACAAATAGCGAAACACATCATTATCCCCTCTAATAAGCAAGACGTCAGATCCTGAAATGACAGTACCTTTAAGAATGCTGTCACAGTAAACAAAATACCATATATTCAATGTTCAATATTCAATATAATGAAATATAAGAACCATAGCAGAGTGTGATAAATGTATCTCAATCTTCACATAGGAATGAAAATGTAACCAAAACTAACATTAGAATTAAAAGCAAATACAGTACGAAACAGCTTCTTAAGAATGAATTGTAAGTGCATTCTTGCAGCTTTTTTTTGTTATGACCAGCAGAATGGCACCGAGAACACTTTTGCCGTTTGGTTGCACGAAATTCACCAACTGATGGTATCCTTTTTGTTTTTGGTCGACCAGCTTGTCTTTTAGAACATGAAGGTGGCTTGCAAACAATACTTTGAACATGAGGTGGAACTATCCAAGAAGATACATCACCAATTGGATGCTGCACACCACTATAGGTATTCAACACAGACTGTCTCGTATAATAATACAATATATAATCATAGCAGGAAACACCAGCGCGTGTGCCTATGGCAGGTACAGCATGTACACAAACAAAATCCTCTAATTGAAACATACGGCACGTGCATGTTCGGTCATTGAAATTGACAATAAAAGATCTACGAAGTCTATCAACAACTTCAAACTCATAACGGCATGACAGTTTAACCTGAAAAATTAAGGTTAATGAAAGATGTGAATTACAGATAGAACAATACAGTCAATACAACACAAGGATAAACCAGAACATGGCAGTACAATAGAAATGTGAATGAAACACTGTCACGTTCATGTAATAAACGTGACAGTATACACTTGCCAGTAACTAAATAAAAAAGTGAAAACAGAGAAAATGAGATTGTTACCCTCATCCTTGAAGCATCCCTCTGCAATGAAACTAAATGTTTCTCAAACTTTAGAGTCAAATGAGTAGTTGATGAAGTTGCTTCTTCCAGCCGCTCTGCAAACCATGTTTGCATTCTTTCACGGATAAAATCCAAAAGCTTAGCCACAGGGTACTCTCTTGCATTAGCATCCATGTTGTTCATGGCCTCTGCACAGTTAGAGGTCATAACACCCCATCGACTCTTAACTGCCATGCTTCGAGCCCATTTTTCCTTTCCAATCTTCTCTAGCCACGGACGAATCCTAGCATCTTCCTCATCCAACATGGACAAATATTGATAGCATTCACTCACAGTTGCAACCTCCCATGCAGATTTAAATTTCCAACCATGGTTGGACGACTTACATCGAAATTTGGATCTCATATTACGCCGCAGATGTTCACAACAATATCCATGGGCAGCGTGTGGAAAGATGGCCTTTGCAGCTTTGATAATACCTTTATGTCTATCTGACACAATGTACATGTCATCATGATGTTTAAGGCACTCTTTGAGCCTTGTAAAGAACCACTTCCAAGACACAGTGCTCTCAGAATCACATACAGCAAATGCTAAAGGCACAATCTGTTTGTTTGCATCTTGGCTGCAGGCGGTAAGCAACGTCCTTTGTAGTACGCTTTCATAAAAGAACCATCGATAATAAGAATAGGAATGCAATGCTCCCATGCTCTCTTCCATGGTGCAAGTGACATGAACAAATAGCGAAACACATCATTATCCCCTCTAATAAGCAAGACGTCAGATCCTTGATTAGCTTGGTCAAGCATATGGAGCATCGACGGCAACAATTGGTATGCCTCTGAATCTGAACCAAATTGTTTTCTCATAGCAGATTTCTTTGCAGCCCAAGACTTCTTGTATGATATCGGTATTCCATACTGCAACAACAAATCATCCCTGATTTGTTTAGGTGTATATGGTTTTTTGGAAGCATCCATATACTGATGAGCTACAAGCTCAACAATCATTGCAGAAGTGGCCTGCCTGTGACGAACACCTTGCCTAAAGTCTATTGAGCAAGTGTGATCAACATCGAACCCGTATGTAAAGAACAACGAATAAATATATATAAACTGATGGATATATGAAGTACAGGAGAAGGTACATGCACACTATCAAAATAATACAAACACAGGTGGAAGAACGTAGCAGATGACAGTATCACAGTATACATGCTTGGAAATACAAGGTATTCAGTGACAGTATTCTTAAGCAATGAAACTTTGAACTAGGAAACACACAATGCAAGATTCTTAAAATACATCAGAAAAAAAATATATGAATGAATTAAAAATTATACCTTCTAATCTGAAAAAGCTGAACACCTTTGAGCCTAACAGCACGAACAACCCATTTACAATTTTCATTGTCCAAACACATCACATGCAATGAATGCTTCTTTGAAGTCTTTGAATAAAATTGGAAGCTATTATTGATCGCGTACATTCTAAGGTGATAAAGTAGAGCTTGCTTGTTCTCGTATATACCATGGAGCACAATCTTAGTAGCAGAATAACATGTAATGACATCACAATTTTGGTATAACACAAATGAATCTGAGGAATGATTTTCTAAATTTTCAGAAGAAGAAGAAGAAAGTGAGTCCTCATCAAGGGAATCCTCATTCAAACATTCAGGAAGTACACCACTGCATGAACTGTGATCTTCAAAGTTATTTTTATTCAAGGAAACACTCAACTGATCAACATAAAAGGAAGATGTGGATGAAAGAACATTATCA